CATGAGGCTAGGGTTCTACCTTCTCGAGGAGTTTCTGGTCTCTCTGGGTGTCTGATTCACGATCCGATTTCACGGGGTGAAAATAGTTGATCTGGCGGCAGCGGCAACACTCCATACGACTTCCCATACGAGCGGGCACGGCCGTATGGAACGCCATCTTTTGCACCGGAGGTGCAACGACGCCTTCTTCTCTGGCCTCTTTGCTTCTTTTATGGTAGGTAATTATCACTTTAAATATGTGATTCCACTACCATTTCTAAGGATTTTTTCCTTAGCATGCTAGATGGTCCAAGAAGCGTTACATGAGGGATTTTCAACAAAAAGAGGTGCATGAATGCGGTAAAATTCCACAAAGCCCACTATATAGGCATAAAATACTTAGTAAAATTATCACATAAATTGGACTCATCACATTGTTTGAAGGTGATGAAACTGTGTCTAGGTGTCTAATTTTATTTCGCGACTCTGTATTATGGTTGCCTATTGTAAAATCTAAGACAATCTGGGAGACAATTGTTATGTTTGCAATGTAGTCACTGGGATGAATTTGCATTGTAATTCAAATTTTGCACAAATTCATACTAAAATTCTTGAAAAAGAAGTCAAATTTGTATCACATATGCCCGCCATTTGCAATACATAGACCAAATTGATCGCGGCTACAAACTTTGATGGTCATGGACGCCATCACAATCATATGGACCCACATGTAAGAAGCCACGTGACCGACGAATGAACCCGCTTGGCAGCATCCACGTCAGCACTACAATGGGCCCACATTTCAGAATCTTTGACCCGTCTAACAAGACATCGTCATAGAAAAAACAATGTCTGGTCCCACATGTAGGCGGTCACGTCAACATCTTCTGGGCTCATATGTCAACAATATTGACCTATCAAAACGGACACGCTACTTATTACCGACGGGATCATCGACGATAAATCCCATGACAGATCCACATGGAAGCAACCACATCAACATATGTTGGCCCCACTTGTCACAATCTTTGACCGGTCAAACTAGCAGACGGATCACCGGTGATGGATTATCGTCGTCAAAAAGATCTTAGGTAACAGATTGGCCTATCAAATGTGACATTCCGGGCTGTCACAGAAAATGGCCATGAATGACATTTTTAGATTTGTCACCTAAGATATGATCTCGCGTGACGGACGAAGTGGTACCGTGAATATTTTACTTTTTATGACGGCACTTCGATTACGGCCAGAAAATGTCGCCAATACATTTTCCGTGACGAAAAACGGTTTTATGTTACACAAGTCAAACATCGCAAAGTAGAGCAAATTTTGTGGTGTCTGCTTCACCCTTACACTTGGGGGAATCCCAACAACTCCTGTGACAACTCCTGTGGGAGCAAGCATTCTCCTTCTCACTTCAATTACTCCTGCGATGAGCATCTTGAAGATCTAAGATTGGAAATCTGTATATGCACAACCATATAGTTTTGTTTGTGGATGCGCAAAGAAATGATGGTTGGATGTAGGAGTCTCTCTTTGGATGTTCTACGACAGTGTCACGTGTCTCTATTAGCTCCAATTCTATTGCACCCTGCTGTCCACATAATTTATTTATGTATTTGACACACCTCGTTAGTTCATGTTGTTATGATGTTCAAGAACAGGCACATACTGCAGTTAGTATGCTACTCTACATAACCTCTTTGTCCTGGATAGTATTGAGGACGAAGGCAAAACTTATATATGTGATTTGAGGGTCTTAATAGTGATGCATATTTGATGTTGCTTGGCTTTGTGCAAGCATTGTAAATATTTATCATGCACTACAATCTACTTTGCTTTCCGTACAATGTCCTTAATCCATGCACTTTTGCCTTCTGTTTTGTAAACATATTGAATCCCAATCATATGCAATCGAGTTGAACTTGACTATGGAAGTTATCATTGTTGGTTTCTACGGTAGGGCGCGTCGACTGCAAATCAAAATTTTCCTACGCGTAGAACAACCAAGAACAGGCTACAGGAGATGCATCACAGATCGTTACCACTAAACGTGCAGTGCCGTGCAGCGGGAGTAGAGTTGAGGCAGCGCGTTCCCTGAGTCGCCTCGCATTCCCGGAGTTGTCTCCTCCTTCCCGGTCTCCCACGTAGCCGATCGGATCCCGCGAACAGGTTCGCCGGAGCGGCGCAAGTGCACCGCCTCTAACGGTATCCGCGCGTGCAGGAGGAACGTCGTGCGGCAGACTGCTAGATCCGACCACACAACCGGCAGCGAGTGGAGGTGGCTAGCAGTTGCAACACATGCAAAGCCCTAACGACGGCGCCGAAGCGATCAATCGCCTGAGTGTGCCGCACCTCCACATTATATAGGCGTCCGTCGCGGGCTCAACACTTGGGCCTCGCACGGACCCTAAAGCCCACAAGTCTACTCGGCCACAATTCAAATACAGCTCGGATCACATCTGACCAGTGTCCTCGGATCCGACCTCATAGGTTCCTTCCCTTAAGCGCGCGACCCCTTAGGTTCAAGTCGTCTTGGTTGCAGGTTCAGATCACCTCCGGACTGCACAATTGGTAGCGGCCTCTAGCAAGGCATGTCGAACACCAAGCAGACTATGAAGCTGGTTAGGCAAACCTGTACAACATGTCACACTTGTGTTCCCTTTGTCACACGATATATGTTGTCGGGCTCAAGGCGAAATTGTCATCCTCTCACTACTAGGAAAAGGCCTACTAATGGCGCACCTA